AACTGTTGTTATGCAATTGTTTTAGAATTTTTTTTAGAAGCTTTATGTTTTCATACATTTAGAATCTTGCTTGAAGTGTATATTTTATTATGTCTCATTCTCTGCTTTAGTAGGGGCTCGTTGAGACTCACTGAGTACAATGGATGGTAATAACGTTTTTTTTGGGAACCTACGTTGGTCTGCGGTACACCATAGGAACCGATTTTGCAGGCGAGTAGGCTACAGGTTAGGACTTCCGACTCTTCCAGTGCTATTGTTGAGCTCCGCTTTTGTTCATGGAATATTCCTTTTAGTTATCTTTATTTAGTTATTTCTTTGTTTACTTGAAGAATTAGCGAAATCTCATATCCTAAGCAGTGCGTCAGTTTATCAGTAGAGGCTTCATAGACATAGTTGATAGGTTAAGATTCAGGTATTTTTGATAATAACTTTGCAATATTTCAGTAGTTACGACGAATAAAGTTTTGGAGTTGGTTTATTTTAGATATTTAAATTAATTAAAAGTATTTGTTTAAAGTATTGCCTTGTTGCATATAAAATTTGAGGTTATAATAGTTTTGATAAGCACAAATGGTTCGTCGGTCAACTTTAGCGCCTGAGTGTCGGTCACGCTTATTCAGAAAATGGGTTGTGACATCACCTCTCCTTAATACTTCTTAGGCCGCTTTTTACCTTCCAAATCTAGCTGTTTCTCCTTACCGGAGCATTTGGGCTTCTCATCTGTACGTGCTCAAACCATCTGAGTCTCGCTTCCCGCATCTTTTCATCAATGGAAACCACACCCACCTTCTCCCGAATATCATCATTCCTAATTTTATCCATCCTAGTGCGCCCGCACGTCTACATCATGGCCGGTCTAACCACCGCTCTATAAAATTTACTTTTGAGTATCGGTGGAACTCTCTTGTCACATAAGAATCCAGATGTTAACCTCCACTTCATCCACCCCATCTCAATACGATATGTGACATCCTCGTCGATCTCCCCTCCCCCTGTATAACTTATCCAAGGTACTTGAAACTGCCTCTACTTGGGATGACCTGTGATTCAAGCCTCACATCCACGTCCGCTTCCCTCGGCTCAGCACTGAACTTGCACTCTAGGTATTGCGACATAGTCATGCTCATCTTGAAACCCTTAGACTCGAGGGTCTATCTCCAAACCTCAAGCCTCTTATTAACACCGGCTCGCGTCTCATCAATCAGAGCTGAGTTGTCTCTTACTGTCCTAACCTGAGTCTTAGCCCCATCATACATGTCCTTAATTACCCTAATATAAGCAACCGACACACTTTTAGCCTCCAAGCATCTCTAGAGAACCTCTTTAGGAACCTTATCATACGCTTTCTCCAGATCAATAAATATCATGTGCAGATCCTTCCCCCTCTCCCTGTACTGTTCCACCACCCTCCTAATAAGATGTATAGCTTCCGTAGTAGAACGACCCGACATGAACCCGAACTGGTTGTCGGATATAGATACCATCTGATCACGCCCAACTATGCCTTATAAAAAGGACAAGCGGACGTTGCAAATATAATCTGAGTATTTCGCCCAGAGTCGAACCCACAAGGAATTAACCTATCAATTACTCTTGTCAGACTCACTAAATTCTACGTAATCAACTTCCCAAACGTTTTGAATAACAATTGAGGATATTTTTTTACTAACTATGGTGGACTGCAATTAAGTAAATAAAGACTAACTATGATTAAGTTGTAAACAATTAAGAGAAGGATCTAAGGTTGCGATTTTCCCTATTGATGGAATCCCTTCCAGTTATGTTTCATATAGATTTGCCTAATCGTCTCTACCGATCATGAGCACTCTTATTACCGTAAATCTCTCCCGAGTAATTACGACAATTTACTAGGCGCACTCTCCCTAGTTACGCTAGCTGGCTTTTAATACATCTCACTTTAGATTGCACCCAAGGCTTCGTTATCCCTAATCCCGCCTTTAAACCCTCGGTTATTGATCCCTCATATACTCTGGGAGTGATGTTGTTCAACAATTACCTAAATATGCACTCTCTCCCGAGTAATACATACTAAATAGGCACAGCTAATTGAGGATCCTATCAATTAATTATAACAAGAACGTAGTTGAACAAATAGAGATTAAACCGGACAAACTTTATTAACATAACAAAAAGTTCATCCTTCAATAGGTTCCATCAAAACCTTAGACTAAATATTTAGCTACTCATACTAGTGTTCATCATAACAAAAGCCAAATTCATCACAAATGGTAAAATACAAAAGGAAGAAAAGAAGAACTCGATGTTGAATTATCCTCCTTGCCTCTTGCTTCTCCTTGCCTTCAACTAAGCTATAAAAACCTTGATAATCTTCCTTTGGGCGAGCTGAACTTTTTATAGGTTAAGTTGAATCACCCCGAACTTCCAAGTTTACCCCTAAATTCTATTTTCCGAACTGGACTAGCGCGGTCGCACTAATGGGCGCGCTACTGACCGCGCATATGGCCTAACATTTTGCCTTGAACTCCTGGGCTAGCGCGGTCGCGCTAGTCTGGGTCAGCATTTCAACCCTTCTTTCTCTCTTCTTTCAACATAATCAGCTCCAAGGGGCTTCCCTTGCTTCAATTTAGCTCCAAACATAGTTCTAAGTCCTCATACACGCAACTCGCTCCTGCAAAACATGAAATTCACAATTAAAGTCAATTTATCATCATTTAACTATCCTATAACAGTGAAATATAGTCAAGTTGGGGCATAAACAGTCGCCAAATTACATGAATCTAGCCTATTATCACCATCCTCCTCACCCTCACTTCAACCATCCTCTCCTAAACTTTCACGGTATGACTCAGTAATTTAATACATCTATAATTGTTACAACTGTGGGTATCACCCTTGCTGTCTCACTTACATGCATTGAAAATTTTTTCACAAGTTTTGAACATTCAATTACTTTTACTCCTTCCCAAACTTCACATAGACTTAGATCAGCCCTGGATTTCATCTTTTGTTTTACCACCCAAACTTCGAACAGACTACTTAAGCATAATTCTCTACGTCAAATGTCACTTCGCTTAAACATTGCTGAAAGAAGAATCGTAATATATATTTGGTGTATATAATACTAACTTTTATATGCTGGGCCTGGATATATATTTTAAAAAATATCAAGTCATTAAAATGTAAGTAAAGTATCAATTAATAATATTTGAAAATAGTAACTTAGCAAATAAGACAAACAATATTTTAGAACAGATTAAACTGAAATGATAATGTAAAATTCATTTGTACTATCATATATAAAAATAAGATCCTACCTCAATTATGAACTTTCAGGGGCCAAATTATAAACAAAAGGAAAAAAGTCCAAACTTATTCCTATAGTTACACTTTTGGTTCATTTATAACGTTAGTAAATCATATAGTATTTGCCCTTCTCATTTATCATAGCTCTAGTATGAAATAAGTGGACTAGCGTCTATCTTTTAAGAAAATAATGTCGGAATTACCTCAGATTGGAACAAAAAAGAAAATTCCTAACGACGGGTAATATTATTAGATTTATCTACAGTTTAAATGTGCCAAAATACCTAATCACCCCCCTAAACTTGTCACGGATTATTAGTTACAGCCTTAAACTATTCGTGGTCTTAATTACCCCCCTCAACTAGGTCTTTTGAGAGTCATTACCCCCTTGGACGCTGATGTGACAAATTGTGTGGGTGCACTCGCCTGCCACACGTACATTTTTCTGTATATGTGGCATTTTTTTTGAAAATAAAATATATTTTTATATTTTTAAGTATGTTACTTTTTTAGATAATTTTTTTCGAATACAATTTATAATAAAACTTGGATAGAACTATATTATTTAGGATAAAAAAATTTATTTGGCTAAAAATAATAAAATTTTAGTTAATCTTTTTTTGAATTTGACCTTAAAATAAAGATTTATACAATTGAAATAAATAGTCAAGGCATCTAAAAAGTTATAAAAATACATAGTTTGAAATTAATTATTTTGGCTATAATCTTTTATATAGCTCTAAATTATGGTGCTCTAAAAATATACTTTTTACATATTTTATCTGAAAAAGTAAAAATACACAGTTGAAATAAATAATCATTGTATCAAAAGAAGAAATAAAAAGAGTGAACAATTGCAAGAAATAACTTATTATTTCTAACATACTTATTGCTTTAAAAAATACTTATTGCAGAAATGCAGGGTAAGGCTGCGTACAATAGACCCTTATGGTTCGGCCCTTCCTCGGACCCCGCGCATAGCGGGAGCTTAGTGCACCGAGATGCCCTTTTTTTTATTGCTCTAAAATTGTATCCATAGAGTAAGTTATTTTTTGCTATTGTACACTCTTTTTATTTCTTCTTTTGATACAATGATTATTTATTTCAACTGTGTATTTTTACTTTTTTCAGGTAAAATCTATTAAAAAATATATTTTTAAAGCACCATAACTTAGAGCTATATAAAAAATTATAGTCAAAATAATTAATTTCAAATTATGTATTTTTATAACTTCTTAGATGCCTTGACTATTTATTTCAATTTTATAAATCTTTATTTTCAGGTCAAATTCAAAAAAAGATTAACTAAAACTTTATTATTTTTAGCCAAATAAAAAAATTTAGTCTAAATAATGTAGTTCTATCCAAGTTTTATTATAAATTTGTATTCAAAAAAAATTATCTAAAAAAGTAACATACTTAAAAAGGTAAGAATATATTTTATTTTTAAAAAAAATGGAACATATACAGAAAAATTCACGTGGCAGGCGAGTGTACCACACAATTTGCCACATCCGCGTCTATGGGGTAATGGCTCTCAAAAGGCCTAGTTGAGGGGTAATTAAGATCATTTAAGGTTGTAATTAATAATTCGTGATAAGTTTAGGGGTGATAAGGTATTAAATAAGGGAAAATTTGCTAAATTTGGGATATTTGAGGACAAATTTGCCCCTTTCCCAAAACAAAATAAAACTAAGACCACCTAATGTAAAATAGGCAAAACCGGGTTCGAATACAGTTCTTTTTACAGAAGAAGGGCTTTCGCCATTCTATTCCTCCGCAGCAGCTGGGCACCACTTCTCCTGTCCTAACAGCAACCTGAGCATCAAGGTTGGTGTTTCAATCTCCTTACATGTTCCTAATCTGGTCCTTTATTTCTTTTTATTGTCTATTTTCACCAAATTTTGTAGCTGTTCTTGTTCTAGGGTTCAGTTTAATATCGTATAATTAGCCTCCAGACAGATTTCATGGGTTTTCGATTGAAGAGCTCAGTGTTTACCTATTTGAACTATATCTATGCGCTTAAATATTTGAAGCATGTTTCATGATTCTTGTTCAGATTGAAATATCGAACTGCACTTTTTTTTCCTCTTTTTTTTTTTTTAATGTAGTTTTTATTAGGACATTTGAGTTTGTTGGAAAATTTTATCAATTGCTCAGGGGCAATGGCAGAGCCATGAATTTATGCAAGGGGATTAAAAAAATACTTAGAATGTCACACTTGGGGTGTAAACCTATGACCTAAAGCAATTTTTGAACTCCTTTGCCATAACACTAGAATTCTACGGATTCAATAGTCTATATCAACTACTACGGCTAAGTCCCAAATAAGTTGCGGTCGGATATATGGTCCTCAATTCTTCATTCAAGCTCAAACCACATTATCATACCAAATAAAAATTAAAGTGGAAATTGAGTTAAATATATATAACTTAAATATATATACTTAACAACAACAACAAGACTAAATCATATTCCCCTTAATAGATATCACATATACAGATCTTTTACTTCCATTATGTCCCATCTTTAACTAAGTTTGCATTGATACCAAGAAATTGTAGGTCTACATTTGATTTTAGGTCTACCTTTTCCCCCTTTTTTACACCTTGATTTATCAAAGTTTCACACCAACGGACTGGTGCATCTGATGGTCGACGCAGGACATGACCAAATCATCTCAAGCTACCTTATCTCATTTATCCTCAGTGCGTGCTACTTGCACCTTCTGGCGAATGTGGTCATTTTCAATCTTATCTAACGATCGCACATCCATCTTAGCATCCGCATCTATGCAACACTCATTTTGTGACTATATTGGCCAAAGAATTAATTTTTGCCCTATTAGCATAGGATTTAGCTGAAGCCCCCTTGGCTCTATATAAATCTGCTCCTGCTAGGGGAGTATTTCCTTTCGTTTCTCAATTCCTATTCTCTCCCTCGCTGTGCATTTTTATGACCACGGCTTGAGGTGGGGATGAAAGTCATATACTACCTCCCTGGCCACCCCTCCCCCTCATCCCTTCACGGTTTCTATAAGTTAATCATCTTGTTTTCTCATTATGTTTCGGCTTGAATTGGTCTCCTTCTTCTAACGAGCATCTTTGATCTCTTCATAAGCAAGACAAGGTAAAACAAATAAGATGTCTGGTCGAAGCCGCGGGCCTCCACTTCCAATGAAAGGTGGTCCTCATGGTGGACTGCCTCCACCAGTTCATGAAGCCCCATTTGCTATGGGTCGCGTACCACTGCCTCATCCTGCATTGCTTGAAGAAATGAGAGAGTCTCAGTTTGGAATGGGCTCGCGATCGATGCCTCCTCACCCTGCTGTTCTTGAGGAACACCTGGCTACTCAGCATGATGAGATTCAAGGATTATTAGTTGATAACCAGCGCTTAGCTGCAACTCATGTAGCACTAAGGCAGGAATTAGAAGCTGCTCAATATGAACTTCAGCGGACTGATCATTATGCCCGTTCTTTGCGCATGGAAAGTGATGTGCAAATGAGAGAACTATATGAAAAGGCTGCTAAGATGGAAATGGATCTCCAAGCAGTGGATGGTATGAGGTCTGAGCTCATGCGTGTACGCTCGGATATCAAGGAGTTTACTGCTGCCAGACAAGAGCTTACTGTAGAGGTGCAAAGGATGACCCAGGATTTTACCAGAATGACTGCAGATATACAGCAAACTCCAGCAATAAAAGCTGAAATTGAAGGCCTAAAACAAGAGCTGCAGCGAGCAAGGTACTTTTGCTTTTAGAGTGAATTTACTCTATGTGGAATATTTCCAAATTGATAGTTTCTTACTGTACTCTTGGCTTATAGGGCAGCCATTGAGAACGAGAAGAAGGGATATGCAGAAAACTATGAGCATGGTCAGGTTATGGAGAAAAAATTACTGACGATGGCTCGAGAGCTTGAAAAACTTCGAGCTGAGGTTGCTAATGCAGAAAAAAGAGCTCGAGCAGCAGCAGCTGTTGGGAATCCAGGTAATATTTCCCCCCAGAAATCATAGGAATGTGAAATACAGACATGAAAAAGCTCTTCAAAAGATCTGCTTTTGACAAGCGCAAATTTTCCTCGATGCTTTGTCAAGAAAACTTGTGGTTCTCAGGGAACTGTATTTGCTTGGTAGTAATGCAAAATAAGACCTGGAGAGCACTCTTAAGCGTGAAGGAATAGTGCTTTTGTTTTAATGTATTAACTTGCTCTATGGTTCATTTAGTCAACTTATTGTTTGTTTGATTTATTCGTTCCTATTAGGTCATTTCTAAGAATGTTTACCTGTAGTGGACAGTAGAATTCATTAAATTTTATCGGAGGTTTGAGTCCCTTCAATCTTCTTTCAAGTGTATTAAAGTTGCTCCAGAAATGTTGTTTAATTTCTAGTTATAAGAAAATAGTGGGAAATGGTTTTGAAAGATTTTTATTGGAGGTTCACATCCCTGAGAGCTTAATATGATATGATTGCTCCAATTGGTGCCCGTTTAATTTGGTTTTAATACACACACATCTAACATTGAAATTACTAAGTTAAGCTTATGTTCTCGCTGTTGCTGCTTTAGTCTTTCTCAAATTTATTGGACGAATTGGCATATTGGTACTCTACATGTTTCATGAAATTCATCTTTATTTCTGCAGGTGCAGGGTACAATGCAAATTATGGGAATCCTGAACCTGGTTATGCAGCAAATTACTATCCTGCTAGTTACGGAGTGAACCCTATGAACCCTGCTCATCCTGTAAGTTATTCTCTATTGTGCATTTGGTGTTGATGGGATGAAAAAGTGCGCAGAAGGATAGAATCTTTTGCTCTTTGTCATCTGAAGCATTTTTCCTTTTAGTACTTTTTCCCCCTAAGTTTAGTTTATTTTGTATTTTAGGTGCAGGGTGGTGCTGAAGGTTATTCTCAATATGGACATGCACCTGGTGCTTGGGGTGGTTATGATGTGCAGCGAGCTCAAGGACCCAGATAAACTAGTTCATGTAGGCTGGGCTTTGCTACTTTGTGGTACTTTAAAATGGAACACAGGATTAGCTTTGAAATTTTATCCTGAATGATTTTTTGGAGAAATAATTTTTCTTACTGAGATTATTTTTAGTGTAGTTGCTGCATTGCTACGTGTGAGAAAAGTTTTAGCTGTCTGATTGGTTTTTTTAATGTCTGGTTTATCTAAGCTAGATAGTTGTATGGAAATTTCTGCGAGTTAAGTTTTTGATGTATAGTTCCTTGAACTTTAGCCTCGTATTCACTTTTAAAGAAAAGTAATTTTACCTCTCTTTATTACATTGCACTATTAGAGCTATCTTTTATCAGATTCAAAAGCATGTGAAACCTCTGGAGAAAAAATATCTGGTTTCTCCTGATTCCTGAATGCAATGGGAAATAAAAAATTTCATTTGTTTTTACTGATTCCAGAAAATGGGAAAGCAAGTTTTCTTTTGTTGTGAAAGATGATGAAGTCACTTTATCGAATATAAAGGTTCATTTGTTTTGTTGGTTGTCTGTTACGTCTAAAAGTGGGTAAGCATTTTTTTCTAATGAGGATCACTTAAAAAGCTTCCCAGAACTTTCTAGTACTGCTTGTCGATATTACAGGGTACATCATTGGTTTTATCATTTATGTTAAATTTCGCTAAGTTAGTTCCTTCTTGTTTCATGGATCCTAGAGGGCATGCAACGGTTGCTGTCTTATGTGTGAGTCGTCTTTCACGTAATATTTTATTTGGGGTGNGTAAGGCAGGCATTTATTTTAGCAGTTTCCATGTGCCTTTTACTTTTACAAACTTATCCGGGGTTCTGGTTTTCGACTTTAACAGTCATTGAAGTACTTGGGGCTTAAAGTCTGCTTGCAAATTTTTCTACAACCACTTATTCGTGCACTCTGTCGGTGTATCAAAGTTGACTAGTTAAAGAGTTCCACTCTGCCGTGTTTTTATTTTGTGTGCTGAAAATAACCTTTAGTCCCAAAGTGCTGTATAAGGTTTCACTTTGGATTTAGGTAACAAATTTTTATGTCGAGTTGTGTGATAAATGTTTTTTTCTTGGTGTTGACTGACTGAACGTTGTACAAAGATTTGTTTCCACCTCATAAGTTCTTTAGGTCCAATTTTGATTTATATCCTTACAATAGTTGATGTTTTCAGTATGTATGATGTATGAATTATGGTGTAGATGCTTTTATATTCCCCATTCACTGGTATAAACTCTTCTTGCTACTTTTTAGTACCCGTGCATTGTCATTTATATTCTAACGCTCTTCTTTATTTCCAGGTTACAACCAATGTCTAAATGAGTTAATGCCCGACACTTGAGCATGAGATTTTGGGTGAGATTTTATTCAAATTAATCCAAATGAGCACTTTTATATGCTGACTTCTTGATTATTAAGTAATTCAGCAACATTCTGAGACTAGTTTTTTCCTTGCTCTTTATTTGTGGTTTCGTAGTGGATCTCTTTTGCTTCTAATAATAAAAAAAAATGTTCAGATTTTTAGGTTTTATTTGGTAAAATACAAAATGCTTTCCTTGACGAAGTAATTGTGAGTATTGACTGTCTTAAACATTCTATAATGGTTTCCTCAAGGAAAACATTGTCAGCAACTGTGGTAAAAAGACCCATATAAGGGGCTAAGTTATTTTGTTCAATTTTTTTTCTGATAAGCTAAGGTAATTCTATCAACATTTAGTGCCAAGAAGGTACTATAAAAGTACAATAGGAAAAGTGTAAGTTCTCTGGTAAAACTACTGTATGCTGAGTTTTTCCAGCATATTGCCCTTACACCAAAAGTGTAAATATTGTAAACATCTATACTTGACAAAAGAAATATGTTGCTTCTTTCCTTCAAACAGGTAACTCATCCTTCAAGTTTCCCATATCAGCCCTCTATCTCTCTCCGGAACTTCATAACTTAATACTCTTTTTTCATTATCCACCTACAATTTCATATTTTGCTGATTAACAC